TAATAAAATATCTATATCAAGTATTTTATATATTTTATAACTGCATGATTTATTTTATTGTATTTATTATATTAATATAGAAATAAGTTATACCTAATATAATTATTATAAATAAAAAATATTTGATGAATTTCTTGAAAATTATGAATACCTAAGACGCCTAACATAATTGACGGTCGTAAAATGATTAATAGTTGTTCACTCATTACTTACCGCGCCCAAATTACCGCAAGTCGAAAACCCAAAATCATTCAATTAATACCAACAACATTAATAATAATAAATAAGTACGCAAAATGTAAATCTGGATTCGAAAACAAGTGTTTTTGGAAACTTCTGCTAAGCTATAACGAATTTAAATTATTTTTCACAGTATATMTGAACGCAACATATCAGACACGGGTACCTTCGACCGTGTCACGTCATCGGCAGCTACATACGTTGCCTATACGATAGGCCTAAAAAATAGGTAGGTTGTTGAGTTCGTGCGTGAGTGCGTGTACGCCTAATTGCATATACACACGTAAAACGACGACAGTAAATACAATGTCGTCACGCACCGTACGTGACTTGACGATTAGCTATCTACAATACTGAACGTGGACTGGAAACAACTCACCTTTCTCGTGCCGTATCAGTGCGAAACACGGTGGCTGTGGTCAACAAATATCGTCCGATGAACACGGGAACCGAGAGAAAGAAGAATCTCCGGTTTGGGCCAGAAGCACAACCGTTGTCCGTTGGCGGCACACACGGCACACTGTTGAATGTTGTGCTAGAGACGAGCCCCTTAAACGGCGTACAGTCGACAACACAGGCGTCACACGAGAGCAAGATGGCGAACTGAACAAAAGGTGCCAGGCGCAAACTACAGATGCGACAACGTAACGTTTGGCCGTGTCTGGCGCTAAATTACCGCGCACGGCCACGTAAATATCGTGCGCACGGGAAATCTGTACCCATCACCAAATACTATAATATTATGATCAAAGGTGGCAATACTAACTCGTGGTCGATGATTGTTGCGCCGTGTGTTGTTTTTGTTACTGATAAAGTGATAACGACCGTCATAATCACTAACCAGTAACCGCCGACTGATTTGAAATTCTTGTTATTTATTTGAAAACCAAATCATAATATAATGAGTTTAGTCACTAATTTCCACTGATATATATATATATTTATTCTATATACCTGTGCTAATATCAGCTGACTGGCGTTTTGTACACTTTCGCTTCGCATCGCGGCCGTCCGACACGCGCAAACCAACTCCGCTCCATCCGACGTCCAGCCAGGATGGCTGTTACTGTTATTTTTTCACATTCGAAGCACTGACTGACAAAGTGACAACTGTAATTTATTAATTGTGTTACTGACTGTATGCCAGGTCCCAAGTATAATAATTAAATAACACTGTGATAATGTGTTATAAAAGCTGATGTTAAATAACAGTATTTCTGAGATAAACCATAATTTGAGAACTTACTACTTACTGTTATTCAGTTATTCCAATCCAATACTAATATTACCATGATAAATCATTAAWATTGATTATTAATTAACATAATATAATGTTTTAGCGGAAAGGCGGATCTGCGCTTCTCGAGTCTCGGGTAGTCGGGTGCATGGACTGCATGGTGCATACTGCAACTGCATAGATAATAGATATTAGATACATTAAAATGTTATTAATGTGTTCAAAATTAAAATTAAAATGTC